CCCCCCCCCCCCCCCCCCCCCCCCCCCCGTCCCCTGACCTCAGCTTTTCATGGCTAGTTGGGCACAGTTCTTTCAGGGAGGACCCTCCATGCAAAACACAGCCTGGAGGTGCAGGAGAAAGGGGAGCATGTGTGTGCACAGAGGAGCACTCAGGGCCATGCACACCTTTGCCCTCACCCGCTGCTTCCCTCTCCACCCCACCAGCACTGGCACCTGAGCCCTGGTCTCCAGGGCTCCTGTGAAGGAGGCCGGAGGGAGCCATTCTCCTGAGCTCAGGAGTGGTTCCGCTTCCTGGAAATGCTCCCCTGGGCCCTGGTAGGGATCAGGGCATTGCTGGCTACTTCCCAGTGGGCAGTGGGCGGCTGGCCTTGCTGTTGGTCAGGGCCTCTCCCCTGGCCTAGGCCCAAGTGACTCCTTGTGCTTGTGGGCAAGCAGATGCTGCACAGAGCCTGGAGGAGGCAGAGGAACTGAAACAAAGTCATGTGTGCCTCCCTCTCCACCAGCTGCCCCAGATCCCCTGTGCCTTCCCTCTGGGGAGCAGACTGGGCTGGCAAGGAGAGCCCCGGAGGGCCTAGCCAGCAGGCCCACAGCCCCACTTCTGGCCGGCCAGCCTTCCCTCCCTCCCTCCTTGCCTGGGCCTCCCCCTCCCCCACTCCCACCCGGAGCTCCTGCCCAGAGCTAACAAGGGCCCATTGTGCTTCTGGGAGCCGGCACGGGCAGCCTGCAGGCGGGTGCCTGGAGTGGCCTGTTTCCTGGGTCCTTGAGCTCCCACCCAGCTGGCCCCAACCTCCTCCCATAGCCTGGCCCTCCTCCCCCACACCAGGGTCCGGCCAGGGGCCTATAGACAGTCCCTTTCCCCTCCTTCTCCCTTCTCTGCAGAGGACTTGCAGAGGAGCAGTCGGAAACATCCAGCCTTGACCTGAGCATGCAAGGCCCACCCTGCAACCTCCCTGCTGAGCTCAGCCTAGATGACTTCATCCCTGGCCACCTCCGGGCCCATGTAGGGTCATCCTCCCGGGGAACACGGGTGAGTGGGAAGGCAAGGAAGCAGGTGCATTGTGGGTCCAGTTATTAGGGACTGCAGGTCAGGCAGGGGAGCAGAGAATTGAAGGGGGAGGGGGAGGGGGAGGGTCTGAAGAGAGCTCTAGGGAGGCTGCGTAGCTGCCCACAGAAAGGCGAGGCTGGTCCTTGGACCCTCTTTGTGGGGTGCAGGCTGTGCCCAAGTAGCCATCCCGCCCTTTCTCCTGTGGAACCTTCTGGGCCCTGAGCTGCAGCTCCTGGCCCCTCCTACAGGTGCCTGTGATCCGGAATGGTGGCTCCAACACCCTTAATTTCCAGTTCCATGACCCTGCGCCCAGGACTGTGTGCAATGGCTACATCCCACAGAGGAGAGAAGCTTCCGAGCTCTCAGGTGGGTCTGCTCAGAAAAAGCTGCTCCAGGAACCCTGTGTGGGAGGTGGGGGGTCGGAGCCCCTGGACCCTGCCATTTGGCACCACTGTGTCAAGAGACAGGGGCAGCAGAGGAGGATGGATGTCTCAAGATCATGAGGTACCCAGGGGCCTGCAGGCTCAGATCAGGGCCCTCCCTCTGCTGTGGTGGGGGAGCAGGCTGAGGTACCCCTTCCCTCCCACTCCTGCCTCGTGCCTGGGGAAGGGAATGTGCAGGATCCACAGCCCCAGGTTCAAGGGTACAGTCAGCAGGCCAGGGAATGGCTAGACTGGGCTGTTCAGGTCTCTACTCACAGAGCCCAGCAGGAGGTTGGAGAGGCTGTTTGAGAGCCTGTCACCTAGGTCCCAGGGTCCCCAAGATCCTGGGAACCTCTGGATGTAGGCCTGCCCTGAGGGAGGTGGCATCTTTGTTGAGCACTCTCTTGAGGGAGACATTGTAAAGCACTTCCATCGTTCAACAAGTAATCACTGAACACTTACAGTAGCACATAGCCAGGCAAACACATTTTATAAGCCTCATCTTATTTAATCCCTCCATATTCTGGCAAAGCTAGGTTCAGGAACCAAGACAGAGCTGTCAGAGCTGCCTGTCTGGCCCTGAAGCCCTTAGCTGCTACACTGCCTACTTAGGGGCTAAAAATTCTAGGGAAATTAACACAGTACCATGACTAGGAAACAAGTTTCTGTCTTCGCTGTCCTTGGCTGTGTGTGCACAGCCTCACAAAGTAGATGTCACTGAATCCTTCCCACCGGTACCCTCCTTTTACGGGAGTGGAAACTGAGGTGCTAAGGGCCTGACTGATGTGCCTGAATTCACACAGCCAGTAGGTGGCAGAGCTGGGGTCTGAATTCAGGTCTGTTCCCTCCAAGCCCAGCCTCTTTTCTGCCACACCCCCGCTAAGCCATCCCCAGCATTCTCTTGAGTAATGATTCCCATTCTGTAGACTCTTAAGACAGCCCCAGGAAAGCAGGAGGGGTTGAGTGCGGACACATATTTCTCAAAACAAAATCCATTTTAATTCACTTTAAGAAGTAAACAAACAGAAGCCTGTGGTGCTGCCAGGGATCAAGAGCCTGCGTCATCCATTCAAACAAACAAGGAGCTGTTGAAACTTTGAACCCATAGGGATCAATGTTGTGGGGATCTAAGCGACAAACAAGGTCAGGTAGAGGCCCCAGCCTTTAGCTAATGCTCTCCTGCACATACCCCACAGACCCTGCATGGTATCAGACCTGGCCAGGCCCTGGCCCCTGGTCCTCTGAGAACTCGAAGGCCTCTCCACCACAGGATGCCCAGAACTGGTCAGCCACATGGACCAAGGACAACAAGCGGCGGGACAAGCGCTGGGTCAAGTACGAGGGAATCGGGCCTGTGGATGAGAGCGGCATGCCCATTGCCCCCCGATCTGTGAGTCAGGGCTGGGGGTCACAAACAGATGGGACCTACAAAGAGCTCTATTGTTTGGATAAATCAGAGATGGGCAATAAAGGCTGTACCCAGACCATTCCAGACTAAGCTGGAATCTAACCATGATGAGTTTCAGAGGATCATGAACCCCATAAAGTTACGGGCACCCTTGTGAGTCTGAGTTGTACAAGCGGGAAGGCCTCATAGCACAGCAAGCATTGAAGGACCTGAGGACCCCTTCAGCACTGCCACAGTCTCCCTCTTCCATCTGCCTCCATATCTTGAGGCAACATGCTTCCTCACCAGGAAGCTGGTGTTAACATACCCTTCCTGCCTCCCAGGGCTGTTTGGGAAATATCATCTCCCCCCTCTCCATTATCAATTTTATTTTTCATTACATAGAAACACATGTTTTTTTCTAGAAGCATTAGAAATGTAGAAAAGCAAAGAGGTAACGTGTAAATCACCCCAAATCCACAGTGTAGGGATCATGGTTGTATATACTGATGGAGGCCTGCATATGTGACATGCTACTGAAGTTATTGCTCTGGAAAGACACCACAGAAGATTCCCTAGTCCACCCACAGGGCCGTCACCAGGGGCCAGAGAAAGGGCTCACCAAGGAAAACCTTTTGTGACTTGCTATAGGGGGGGTGGCTGAGCTCAGAGGCCTGACTTTACATCTTCTGATCCCAGAGCGTTGACAGCCCCAGAGACTGGTATCGGAAAATGTTCCAGCAGATTCACCGGAAAATACCAGGTTAGACACCCTCTCCTGCCAGAGTATATTTTGGTATCCAAAGCCTGGGGAGGGAGGGAGAGAAAAAGAGACTTTCCTCCTCAGGGGATTTACTCCACCTATCTAACCCCAAGGCTTTAAAGTCAGTGGTCCTTAAGACAGACCAAAGAAGTGAATCTCCATGTCCCCTCCCTGGACTGGGGGATAGCAGTGGCCTCCAGAGAACCCTCCAGCAGCCAGTGATCAGCTGCTGTCCTCAGTGTCCTCTGAGGGTACACGAAGGTAGTCCTTCCCTGAAATCCTTCTTTTGACTTTTCTGTAGGGCTGACATTCCAACATTAGTGGCCATGAGGCCAACTCATCCAATCAGTCCCTGACTGTGGAGCACTTAACTGTGTTGAGCACTAATCTAGGTGCTGAAGTTAAAAGGGAGACACACAATAAACAGGAACCTTCTAGATGGCATATGGCAGAACTGGCTAGGGAGAAAAATAAAGGCCAGGGAAGTGACCGGTACAAAAAGGCTGTGACTTCACCCAGGATGGTCAGGGAAGGCCCCTGTGAATTGACCCTGGTGCAGAGAGCCCTGGGAATAAAGGAGGTCACCCAGCAGAGGGAACTCCAAAGACCTGGAAGGAAAAGCATGCGTGGCATGTTGGGGACCAGCAAGGAGCTCTTGGACCATAGTGGGGGGCCTTTGGTGGAAGATGGAGCCAAGAAGTCATAGGTACTTTGGGCTTGTTATGAGAACTTTGGCTTTTACTGTGCAAGAGATCAGGAACCGGAGAGAGGTTCTGAGCAGAAGAGTGATATGTTCTGACTGTGATGGCTGAAGAGGCTCTCTGAGGCTGCTGGGTGCAGAAGAGTTGCTGGGAGCAGGGGATCAGGTCCCTGGTTGGTAAGGCTGGGAAGGAAATGGCTGCCATGCAAGCCCTGCTTTAACGAGACCTAGACCAGGGCAGGAGCAGTGAACCTGCTAGAATCCTTTGGGGATTCTGAATACACCCAGGGACAGTTATTGGACTATTTTTTTTTTTTATACCAGGGATTGAACCCAGGGGCACTTAATCACAGAACAACATCCCCCCCACTAAGTTCCTGAGGCTGACTTTGAACTCACAATCCTCCTGCCTCAGCCTCTTGAGCCACTGGGATTACAGGCCTGTGCCACCAGCCCAATCAGTCATTGGAATTTGTTGGTGGATTGAACACAGCCTGAAAGAGAGGCATGAGAATGATTTAAAACTGAGCAGGCTGAAAGATAGAGATGCCGTTTATAGGAACAGAGAGGACTTGAGGAGGAGCAGGTTTAAGAGGCATTCAATTTTACCATACTAGGGAATGAACCCAGAGATACTCTACTCTGAGCTGCATTCCCAGGCCCTTTACTGAGCAGGGCCTTTTGTTTTTTTTTTTTTTTTTTTTGAGACAAGGTCTTGATAAGTTGCCCAGGCTGGTCTTAAACTTGTGATCTTCCTGCCTCAGCCTCCCAAGTAGCTGGGATTACAGGCGTGCGCCACTGTGCCTGGCAGTATTCAGAATTGGTATATGTCACATCTGAGTGATGTCAAATAGGCAGTTGAGTAAAGACTGTAGTTTAGGGGAAAGGTAAAATGCAGGTAGAAATATCTGGGACTCACTGAAAAATGAGATTTTGATTTCAAGTTCCCCAGGTAATTCTAATGTGCAGCCAAGGTTCTGAGTCCCAGAATAGAGGGTAAATGGTTATTCCTCAGGGGATGGGGGTGTAGCTCAGTGGTAGAGCACCTGCCTTGCATGCATGAGACACTGGGTTCGATCCTCAGCACCACATCTAAATAAATAAAATAAAGGTATTGTGTCCATCTACAACTAAAAAATAAAAATTAAAAAAAAATGATTATTCCTCAGTATCCCATAAGGATTGGTTCCAGGACCCCCTGAAGATACTAAAATCCCCTCATGCTCAAGTCCCTTGAATGAAGTGGCATAGTACCAGCCTGAACCCACTACTTAGGTGTGATTTGAATCACTGCTAAAATGACATAGTGTTTGCCTATGACTGACCCTTCCTCCCATATACTCTTTCTTCTTTGGTACCAGGGATTGAACCACCCAGGGACACTTCACCATTGAGCCCCAGCCTCAGCCCCATCGGTGGGGTCCTGGACAGGAGTGGTGGGGGCAGGAGTGGTGGGCTGAAGGCCTATTTAGAGAGGGGGCAGCCGGGGAGGTCGTGATCCTCGGCTAGTTAAGGTTTGCTGTGAAGAGAAGCAGAACAGTCAGCAGCCAGCAGAAGGTGGGCTCCTGAGAGGGGAACTTTGGTTTGCTGAGGGAGAGGCGGGCAGGCTGGTCAGTAGCTCTTCCAGGGCCTTCCCCGCCCCAGAAGAGTGAGTCTGGGCAAGGGGAAAGCAAAGCATTTAGAAGAGAGTGCAGAAAGCGAAGGGGAACTCCAACCTGACATGGCCAGGGTAGGTCTGCAGAGGTCAGGAGAGGGCGTGTGTGGGAACCCGGAGGGAGAAGCTGGACAGGACTGTTTGGGCCAGGCGGCGGCTGCCTGCTCAGCTCGCCCAGGCCATAAGCCTGCCAGAGGCATTTCAAGCCCTCCCAAGAGCTGCTCTCCTAATTCCTCCCCTCCCTGGGACATTCCGCAGGCCCTGACTCAGCGCTCAGCCCTAGGCTGGAGGGAGGCTGGGAGTGGCCAGGGCGTCCCATCCCCACTTTCTGCCCTATCTGTGACCTGGTCCTTTTTGCTCCCCAGACCTGCAGCCTGACTGGACCTTCCAGGACCCACCCAAAGGTGAGGGAGTGAGGGCTCGCTCATCCACCCTGGCCGGCTGCCTGAGGCTGGGAAAGCAGCCCCAAGCTTGACTCCAGGGCTCCCCAGGTGGCTTCCTTCAACCTGAGAGGTTTTTGTACTTCATTCTGGGAAACTCCAAAGCCCCTGGGAGGTGCAGTGGTAATTGGGAGTCTTAGCTTCCTTCCTCATCCTGGGAATCCTCACTCTGCCACACCCTGGCTGAGTGGGCCGCCTCCCTTTCCTCATCTGTACAATGGGGATACCACCTACCCTGGAGCTGTAAAACTCTTGGGGAAAGTCCACATTAAGTGGCCTCAAGAACCATCTCTGCCTGCTGTGAGCCAGCCACCCAGAAGCTAGGGAGGAAGTGGATGCTGGAGCTTCACAGGGTCACCCAACCCCAGCCCCTGCCTTTCTTCTTCCACCTTCAGTGATTTCCTCGTGGAACTCCTCTGCAAACCCCAAGCAGCCAGGGCCACCGCAAAGAACATCCTCCAGGCCAGGGGGCCCTGCAGCAGCTTCTGTCGGGTGAGCTGGGGGCAGAGGTTGTGTGGGCCTTAGCTTCCCTGTGGGGACCAGTGCCCCCTCGTGGCCACGTCCAGCACAGCCTCAGAGCACGCAGGATGGGGTCAGCTCCTCAGCTGGGCTCTGTCCTGTCGCCATCCTGTCACATTTTTCCATCCATCCAAGATAAAAGGGGAAAGGTGGCCAGGAATGGGCCCGGCATCCATTTCTGGTCAGGAACACCTGCCCTGTGTTCACGGTGGCCAGGAGGACTCATCCCCTGCAAAAATCCATGGGTCATGTGTGCCTGGTGGGGTTTCCCAGGCACCCACAGATAGAGCTGTTGAGGGCAGCTTGGTCCTGGGGCCTTCCACTTTGAAGCCTGAGAAAAAGCAATCATTGTGGATGAACCCAGGTTCCCATCCACATGCAGCTGTGAGACACACTGCAGACAGCGGAGGGAGGAAATGCCTTCCTCTATGCAGACTGCTCAGGCCCATGGGAACCTGGAGCTTTGCTCTCAGAGTTAAATCCAAGAGCTTCTTGTGCCTTTACATGGAGGGATCCTGCTCACTAGCATGGCCATGACCAGCCTGTGGCTCTTGGGCACCATCAATAGAGACTGAAGAGCTCCAGATTGGACCCAGAGTTGGGGTTGAAGCCAGTGCTCTGCTACTAGCCATATGACCTTGGCCACTTACCCACTCTGAGCCTGGGTGTCCCTGTCTTGTAAGCGGGGACCATTCAGTGAGGACGGAATGAGATCACATTGGCATCCTCATCACGACTGGCACACAGCATGTCTACACAAACATTAGCAATATACAAGCTCAATTATGACTAGAGTTTCCTTTGATTAGCCACGACACATTCCATTCTCATGATCATTTTTGTTATTCCTAAAATCAGAATAGAATCATAATTATAGCCAACAAATCCTGACCCTCCGGGCAGACATTCCATCATTTGATAAGCTTGATACAGTGGTTTTCCTTGGTACAAACTTTCAAACTAAAAACAGAGGCTGGGACATTAAAGCTAGCCAGCAAAGGACCCTTGGAGGGAAGACAGCAGGGTGCCTCAGTAGCTGGGGTGGTCAGACAAACGAGGTCACTGAATCTAACCAGTACCTCCATGGAACAGAAATAACTCGCCCAGACCTCCTGGAGGTTTTTCCTGGAATAGGATGCAGACTGTTCTCTTGGGTTTGTGTGTAAGTCCACTCAGCTGTGGCAGCAGGAAAGACCAGATTCATGGAAACTGCATAGACATATACCAGGGCAAATGCAGGATACCTAAGGCCCACGGGAAAGCCCCAGCTGCTCTGCAGCAGAGGTTTATGTCTGGCCTTCTCCTGAGCACCTGGTATGAATTCCCTTACCCAATCACTCCCACTTCACAGGTGCTGCACCTGAGGCTCCATACAACTTACCAAAAGGTGATGGAGCTGGGATTTGCACTTGGAGTTTGCGCACTTGGCACTATTTAACACTGCTTCTGCAGTAAGGAAGAGGGGCAGGCAGAGACAGCTTAGGCCCCTTGGCGGGATGGGGCCAGAATAGAAAGAAGTGATGCTATACCTTCTCTCAGGGCTGTGATCTCACTTGTGCCTCAGTTTCCTTAAAAGGAGACTGATGTTCTTCCCTTTCTTCAGGAGAAGCTGGGACCACTCTGAAGAGTTACCCAGAAGCACCTTCACCTATAATCCTGGAGAACTGCCCTCAGAGCTCCAGCCCCCAAATCAGGTAGCTCATCCAGTATGCTCCCCTTCCACCCCAGCAGCATGATCTGGCTAGGCCTCTCTGCTGAAATTCACAGCTTGAATCTTTAGGAGGGCGGATAGGTACAGGATAGGGCAGGGCCTGAGAGCCTGCTTTTGAGCCTGGGTAGAGCCCCAGTGCCCCTCTACTCAAGGTAATGGCTACCCACATCTGTGCAGGTGCCGAGAGAAAGACGCCGAGAGAAAGCAGAAAATGTCTGGACAGAAGATTCTTGGAACCAGTTTCTGCAGGAACTAGAGACTGGGCAGAAGGTGAGTATGGACCAGGTCCTCTGGGTGTGGATGCACCACCCGGCTTGAGCATTCGGAAAGTGCATTCACCCCCTGACTCCCCTTCCCACCCTTCAGCCCAAGAAACCGCTGGTGGATGACCCTGTTGACAAACCCTCCCAGCGCATCGAGGTAAGTGTCGCATCGGGGCTGGAGAGAGATTCTGGGTCATATGGGCCCCAATGACCATGGGCAAAAGTCATGGACCAAAGGCCCAGACACTCTGCTCTCATACAGCACCCAGGACAGTGCCTGGTGTACAGTAGATACTCAATAAACATGTGTTGACCAAAGCAAGAGCAGAGGAGGGAGTGTCCAGTATGGACTGGAGTTACCAGGAAGTATTCTTGGACACAGAACTGAGGGTTTTTTTTTTTTTTTTGTTGTTGTTGTTTGTTTTGTTTTATTGTTTGTCTGGGGATTGAAACAGTGTTTTATCACTGAGCTACATCTCCAGCCCTTTTAATTTTTTGAGACAGTTTCTCATTAAGTTGTTTAGGGCCTAAATTGCAGAGGCTGTCCTCAAACTTGTGATCCTCCTGCCTCAGCCTCCCAAGACACTGGGATTACACCATGCCAAGCACTAAAACTCAGCTCTAAAAAGATCAAAGGGTGGTCCGGGGATGGGGCTCAGTGATAAAGTACTTATCTAGCTGGGTTAGGTCCTCAGTAGGGGCAAAGGGAGATCAGAGAGCTTGGCCAGGCCGAGAAAGAGAGCTGCTTATGCATGTAAGCAGAGACTTGAAGTGGAAAGTATGGAGGAGGGGAATATGCATATGTGTGTGAGTGCATGTGTAATTGGTCTACTAGAGTGGGCACTGTAATTGGTCTACTAGAGTGGGGAGGCTGGATCGGTACAGTGAAGCCAGGCCATGGAAAGCCATAGAAAACGATGGCACGGACCTCACAGGCTCTTGACCAGAGACTTGACATGGCAAAAAAAATAATAAATAAATAAAAAAGGTTGGGAGGTACCATCAGGAAGTACTACCATCTTAGCACCCTGGAGTGCAGGCGCAGAGGGGGCAGGAATGCCCTCCCGTATACCCGGAGCCACACCCCTCCCAAGCCACAGCAGACACTGGCTCTGAGGCATGCCCTTGACCCAAGCACGGTGTGACCTGGCCTGCTGCTCCCATCTGACCTCTGAGCAGCCCCACTACACACATTCACGCACACTGTGCTGCCCTCCTCCCACCCCTCCCCCCACTGCCTAAGCCTTCCCCACCCCCAGGTCCTGCTGGAGAGAGAGCTAGCCAAGCTGAGCGCTGAGCTGGACAAGGACCTGCGGGCGATTGAGACCCGGCTGCCTGCGTCCCCCCAGGTACTGGCCTCCTGGGGTCCTCCTGGGGGAAGCCATTGGCCACTGGGGCGGGGACTGGGTGGAGGACGGGCAGGCACTCTGGCTGCGGCCACCTTGGGCAACTTCAGCTTGTTGCTTATTCAGGGCGTTGACTTTCCAAGTGACCCCTAGGAACCCTTCCAGGCCCACTCCACGTCAGCCCGTCGTCTGGGACCCGGGTCCCCGCCCCACTCCGCCCCGTCCTAGCGCAGCCCCAGGGACCCCGACCCGTACCGGCCCTAGTTTCCCGGCCCGGCCTCCCTCTTCCGCCGCTCGCCGCCTCCTGCTCCTTGGCTCCCGCGCGCGGCCGACTCTAGGACCCCGCGTCCCGCCGCCCCTCCCCGCCCTCCTTCCCTCCCGAGCCACGAACTTTTCCGGAGGCGGCGGCCTCGGCTGCCTGGGCCCCGGGACCCCAGGCCCTGATCGCGCCCGTCTCCCCGCACAGAGCGCGCAGGCGCCCCGACGGGCCCCGGAGCCGCGGCCGCCGGTCGGGTGAGTGCGGAGACGCGGGCTGGAGGAGGGGTCCGTCCGGGCCGGGGCCGGGGCCGGGGACAGGAACGGACGTGGCGCGGGCTGGGCGGCGGCGCGGGGGCGCTGGCCCGGCCCAGTGCGGGGGACGCGCGGACCCGGGGGAGTGCGCGGAGGAGGGGCCTGGAGAGTGGGAAAGTGGCCGGGAGGGACCGGAGCCGCCGCTCTCTGCAGGGGGCCGTCCTCCAGCGTCCCGAGGGCCACTTGCCCGACCCAGGGACTTGGGTGGCGGCGGTGGGACCCCCACTTCCCACGCACACTGTCGCCACCGGCCGTCTCCGGCCTCTCCCTGCCCAAGGCCTCACCCTTTCCCGGCCGTGGCTGCAAGGGAAGTAGGACATCCTGTTGAGAACCCAGGACCTGGGAGACGCCTTGGGAGGAGGTGGCCTGGGTGGGGGTGGCGGGAAGATTTGGGAGATCGGGGAAGTCTGGAGGGGAGTCCCAAACCGGTGCTCACTCTGTGTGTCCGTGTAGCCCGGCCTCAGCCTGGAACTTCAGCGCCCCGCATGCACCTTACCTGGGTCCCACCCAACCCCTGAGCCCCCACAGAATGGCGGATGGAGGAGGAAGCCCCTTTCTAGGTCGGAGAGATTTTGTCTACCCTTCCTCGGCCCGAGGTAAGGACCCCGCGGCCCCATCACCTAGATGTGCACCTACCAGATATGCAGGTCGGCAGGGAGATCACAGAGCCCCTTGCTTCTCTGTATCTGTCCTGGGTGGAGGGAGCATAACCCATCCCAACCCAGACGCCTCCCAGATATGACCTCCCCAAGTTGAGGTGGTGCTTCTCCACAGACCCTAGTGCCTCCCAACGAGGCTGCAGCCCAGCCAGAAAGGAAGAGAAGAAGGTAAGGAGGGTGCATCAGGGTCAGGGTGCAGGAGGAGGTGCATGGAGCAGGTTTCCTGCCTGACTGAGGTAGCCCACTCTGTTCTCTTCCCCTGCCCAGAGAAAGGCTGCTCGGCTCAAGTTTGACTTCCAGGCACAGTCCCCCAAGTAAGTGGCTTTTTCTCAACCTTTTCCCTTCCACTTTGGGTAGTCTCTGCACTATTGGGTGGGAGACAGGGCTTCAGTATATGCATCTCCAGAGGGTGGAGGGGACCTAGAGTACTCAGGGCAGGGTCTGAGGAAAAGGAGGCTCAGCTTGCTGTGACATTTCTACTCTGGCCTGCAGGGAGCTGACTCTGCAGAAGGGTGACATTGTCTATATCCATAAGGAGGTGGACAAGAACTGGCTGGAGGGGGAACACCATGGCCGACTGGGTATCTTCCCTGCTAATTATGTGGAGGTGAGTGGGAGGAACAGGTGCAAGTAGGTGCCAGGCTGGGAGGGCCCGGGGCTGGGAAAAACTTGGAGTGCAGATACCTGGTTTCCTAATATGTAAAACTGTGAGGGGCACAAATGCCCCCCACCCCCAACCTGGCCAGATGCTCTGTGTGTACCCAGGAAAGGTTTGCTAAATGAGGGTGGAGCCAGCCCAGGGGAGACCAAGTAGTCCGGCTACTCAACCAGAAGCCACAGCCCTATCAGTGTCTTGGACTTCCACCATTCAGAATCCGTCTCCTAATTGCAACCAGCAAGAGTTGGAAGTGTGTGGCCATTTATGAGCTATATATAAATGCATCACCTCTTTCAGATATATTACCTCCTTTGTTCCTCAGTGCCTGGGGAATGACAGGTAATCCCCATTTTACTGATAGGGCTCAGTGACAAATTACAAAGTAGAAGATTAGAATCTGAATGTGGATCTTTCCATTCCAGGGACAGTAGAGGCCTATAGGTTATCTTTGGTATTTGTGTCTTTTGAGAAATGTCAAGTTATTGGCATAAAGTTGTTCATATCATTCCCTTAGTATCTTTTTTTTTTGGTCTATGGATTGAACACAGGGTGCTTAACCACTGAGCCACATCCCCAACCCTTTTAGCTTTCCCTTTTGGCTTTTTGAGACAGGGTCTCGCTAAGTTGCTTAGGGCTTTGATAAATTGCTGAACTTGGCTTTGAACTCACAATCCTCCTGCCTCAGCGTCCCAAGCTGCTGGGATTACAGGTGTGTGCCACCGCACCAAGCCTTTAGTATCCTTTTAATGTCAGTAAAATCTGTAGTGATGACCTCCCTCTAATGACCAATATTGACAATTTATGTTTTCTTCTGGTTAGAGATTTATTTATTTTTATTTTCTTTTAAAAATATTTTTAGTTGTAGATGGACACAGTACCCTTACTTTATTTTTTTATTTTTATGTGGTGCTGTGGATTGAACCCAGTGCCTCATGTGTGAGGCAAGCATTCCACCCCTGAGCTTCAGCTCCAGCCTTTTATTTATTTTCTTGATCTTTTCAAAGAAATTATTTCATTAATTTTTCTCTATTGGTTTTGTTTCTAATTTTATTGATTTATGCTTTTTTATTATTTTTTCCTTTTTCTTTTTGCTACTGGGAATTAAACTCAGGGGTGCTTAACCACTGAGCCACATCCCTAGCCCTTTTAAAAATTTTATTAGAGACATGGTCTCACTGAGTTGATAAGTGCTTCTCTAAGTTGCTGACACTGATTTTGAATTTGTGATTCTCCTGCCTCAGCCTCCCGAACCACTGGGGTTACCCGCCTGTGTCACCACACCCGTTTATTTCTGTCTTTTTACTTATTTTAATAATATATAATAACAAGGTTTAATTTGCTCTAATCTTTGTAATTTCTTAGTTTATGTTATTGATTTGAAACTTTTCCTGATATGAATATTTGATGTTATAACTTTTCCTTTAAATACTGCTTTAGCTGCATCTGACCATTTAAATTTTTTTTTTTCAACTTGAACTATTTTATCATTTCCTTTGTGACTTCCTCTTTGACTCATGGGTTGGATTGTTGTTTCATTCAGGTTCTTGATTTGATAGCCATCATAAGACATCCCCTACCTACAGGTTAACTTCTCTGATCCTGAAATTTCACAAGTGTATACAATATTCCATCCCACCAATTATTTATGTCTTAGTGTGAAATTGTTGATTAGCTTCTTGATTTTTTTTTCCAGTATTGGGGATTGAACCCAGGGGCACTCTTACTACTGACCTACAATTCTAGCTCTTCTTATTTTATTTTGAGACAGGGTCTCCATAAGTTGCTGAGGCTGGCCTCAAACTTGTGATCCTCCTGCCTCAGCCTCCCAGGTCATTAGGATCATAGGTGTGCACCACCATGCCCAGATGGCTTCTTGACTTTTATGAGTAGGGTGAAGCAAAGGCAGCATGGGGAGCACCTGATGGGATAGAAGGGGAGGGGGAACCGAGACACTTGAACCAAGTGTTAAAGTTAAATCCTCAGTTTTCAAAGAGGTTGCCATCTGTTCCCTACAACTCCAGATACTCCATTTCCTTCTGTGGTCCAGCCTCTCTTTCCAACTGGCCCATCTTCCACCTGGCACTTGTCATACCCCCTCCACTAACACCTCCTCCACAGACCTCTGTTGGAAATTCTTCCAGGAAGCCTTCTTGGACTAACCTCCTCACCCGCTTGGCTGTGCTCACCCTGGCCACCCCTGGGGCTTCTGTCTGGGGTCAGTGTCCACAGCCAGTGTCTTCTCTCTGTCCTGGGCAGCTCTTGCGTGTTACCACCTTCTCTTTGGTGCCTCGCCCTCCCATCAGCCCCAGGGGTACACCCAGTAGATGCCGGGCCAGATCTTTCTCATTACCTTTCTTTCCACAGGTGCTGCCTGCAGATGAGATCCCCAAGCCCATCAAACCCCCCACCTACCAGGTGGTGGAGTACGGAGAAGCTGTGGCCCAGTACAACTTCAAGGGGGACCTGGAGGTGGAGCTATCCTTCCGCAAGGTGGGACCAAGAGGGAAGAAGTGGGGTGGGGTGGGGACAGATGAAGACAGATAAACTCTTTTTTCCCCAATGATGGAGATTGAACCCAGGGCCTCATGCATGCTAAGCAAGCCCTGTACCACTGAACCAGATCTCCAGCCCAAACCCTAAAAGGTTTTATTTAGTCAGGCACACCCATCTGCACCCCATATTTCACGTTTTTCCAAAACTCTTAGAATTTTGTTCCCCTTAATTTAATCCATTTTTAAAAGATTGTTATAAACTTCTAGAAGTGTGTTTTTCAACTGCATGTTGATAGATGATGAGGATCAGAATCTGCACTTTCTTCTTTCTTTCTTTCTGTACTGGGGAACGTTCAACCACTGAATCATATTTCTGGCCCTTGGTATTTTCTCTTTTGAGACGGGGTCTCCCCAGGTTGCTGAGGCAGCCTGGAACTTGCCATCCCCCTGCCTCAGCCTCTAGAGTAGCTGAGATTATAGGTTGTGTCGCCAGGCCTGGCTATAATCTGCATTTTTAAAGGAATAGATAGAAATATTAGACTGCATTGTGTGGAGAAAGAAAGGGTATGTTCCCCAACTATAGGCAGCTGTGGGTGTGAATAAAAAGACATTTTAAAAATATATATGTTTTAGTTGTAGGTGGACACAGTACCCTTATTTATCTTTATGTGGAGCCGAGGATCGAATCCAGGGCCTCAAACACGTGCTCAGCGAGTGCTCTACCACTAAGCCATAACTGTAGCCCCTAAAAAGACATTTTTAAAATGTGGACTGTGGTTAAAAAAAAAAGTCTGAAAAATGCTGCCCTGGAAAGCAAGGCCTGGTCTCCCTTTGATTGGTATTTTTGGGGGGCAGAGGCCATCAGTGCCTGTAGTCAGTGCCACCCAGCCAGCCAGCCCCAGGCACAGAGAGGAAAGGAGGGCTGCATGAGGAGGGGAGGGGACAGAGGGTAGGTAAGCTGAGGGCTGGGGCCCATCCTCCCTGGGGGCAGCCCACCAAGGTGGTGGGGCTCTAACCCTGTCCGCCTGGGGGCTGGAGGAAACCACCTGCTCTGAGGGGGTTGTTTTCTGATGCACTCATGACAGGATTACCCAGAGGGTGAGGCAGGGACAGGACTGAGCCGTGGCAGTGGTGGCTAATACCTGTCCAGTGCTTCTTGTAAGTGTTCTTGCATCTCACAGCAGCAGCATGTTTACCCCACTGAACACACAAGGAGTTGAGGCTCAGAGAGGCAAATCGGCTTGCCCAAGGCCACACAGCTTGGCAGAGCCAGGTGTGCATCTGTGTAATCGGTCACAGGCTCCCCTATGATTGGAGCTCTAGGAGGGGACAGTGCTCTGAGCTCAGTGTGTGGAGGGGGGACACTTCAGCCAGATGTGCTTCCCAAGGAGGCAGGCCCTGACTGGAGCCCAGGGCTGCCTGATGGAGGAAGAGCTGGGACTTCTGCTTGCTCCCCCGGGGGGTGTGGGTTTGGCTCCCGTTCTTCTCTCTGTGGGATCTCGGATGACCTGCTGACCCCCTCCGAGTCTGGTCTGTGCTGTGTGCCAGGTGTTAGTCTTGAATGATACGGCTCAGGTAAGCATCCTCGGGTGCATGTCAGGTGGACCCTGAGGACACTGACTCCTCCCTGCCCCCCAGGGGGAGCGCATCTGCCTGATCCGCAAGGTGAATGAGAACTGGTATGAGGGGCGCATCTCAGGCACCGGGCGCCAGGGCATCTTCCCTGCTAGCTACGTGCAGGTGTCCCGTGAGCCCCGGATCCGGGTCTGTGAAGACAGCTCCCAGCTCCCTGCATCTCCCCGCCTGACCACCACTGCCCATCTGGCCCGGCACCCCACCTCTCCCTCAGTACCGTGCAACCCAGCTGACCCCACCGACTGGGGGGGGCCGGACCTCCCCCCGCCGCACCGGCTTCTCCTTTCCCATCCAGGAGTCCAGACCCCAGACCCAGGTGAGGTGGCCTGTCCCCCACCCTGTCCCCCATCTGACACTGGGAGTGAGGCAGCTGGGCCAAACCTAGCATTGCAGCCCCACCCCCACGTTGGGAACCCCAGGCCCCTTAAGTTAATGCTGGCCAGTGAGCTCCAGCCCAGGGAAACGAGGGCAACCAGCCAGTTCTAGGTAGGTCCCCCAAAGCCACCCACTGTGTCACACCAGACCACTCTGTCCTGATGCCAGTGTTCATCTCTGGGAAGGAGGTGCAGGGAATCAGGGCTCTGTCATTTGCCTGCTGTGTGACCTGGGCAGGGTTTGGGTTTTTCCCCTATGACATGGGGTAATGATCCCAGTGTGGTGGGTGGTCGGGGAGATGTGGGCTGAGGTTTCTCTTAGCTGCAGGGCAAGACAGCTCCACTCCTGAGCTGGCATGCTCCTGGCTGTGCTGGCTCCCATGTTCATCCACTCGCCAGGTGCTGAGCACATATAATGTGCAGGGACCCTTCCTAGGTCCCAGCTTTGTCCATGCTGGCACCTGAAAATCCAGTCACTGACCCCACCTGGACCAGGGGACTTGGGGGATAACCTGAGGCAGTGTGGACGATGCTCAACAGGGAGGCGGGCCACCCATTTCTCTTCCCTCATTCTTCCTCTCTGGGACCCTTCTTTCCTCCTGTGGATCCCCAGAATCTCAGCACCTCTGGGCCATCCCTGTCCCACTCTCGAGGGTCCAGCCGTCCCCTGGACATGGGAGCCTCCTCCCCCAACACCATGCAGATACACTGGACGCCGTGAGTACCATCTGAGGGTTCTTGGCCAGGGGTGGGGATCACCAACAGGCAGTGCCAAGCACACTGACCCATGCCTCACCCTTCCCCACCCCTGGGAAACTTGACCTAGGTGGGGCTTGTCCTTGTAGAGCTTATAGGTGATTTGGGGGCAAGGCAGGAGAGCTCCAGGGGCCTTGGGAAACTCAGGAAGTGGAAACTCCTGGTAGAACCGCCCACCTGGTGTGGGACAAAGGGGTGAAGTCTTGGCTGCCATAGTGATGTCTCCTGCAGGTACCGGGCCATGTACCAGTACAGGCCCCAGAACGAGGATGAGCTGGAGCTACGTGAGGGGGACCGAGTGGATGTCATGCAGCAGTGTGATGATGGCTGGTTTGTGGGTATGTGGGTCTGGGGAATGGGCTGGGGGCTGGCCACAAAAGGTGTCTCAGGGTCCCCAGGGGCATTTGTGGGCTGTTGCTGCCTGTCCACGCTGGTTCAGCAAAGATGCTTGGCCTGAGCGCCTCCACTCAGCATCTGACCTGACTCCGGAGCTTTCCCAAAGCCAGTGTTCTTTGAGCTGCCTTCCTGGTGCCTGAGGAGGGATGAGGCTCAAAGGAAACTGGTCCCAGTGCAGGACCGCCGACAGGCCACTGTCTGCTCAGGGCAGGCGTCTGCCCCGGCCCCTGCTCCTTCTCCCGGCACGCAGACTCCTGGGGAGGGCTGGTGGTGGGGACCAGGTCTCACACAGGGGCATATTCCCCACCTCCCCTGCCCCAGCCTGCTCCTCCAGCCTCAGGAGAGGAGGGAGTAACTGTCCCAGGGCAGTTCGGGCAGAGGATAATATAAGAAACCTCAGTTGGCTCTGGCCTGGTTCAAAGTGACCGGCCCCCCAGGCTTCACCTTGGCCTGCTTCCCAATAGTGGACAGGTTCTGTCCAGGCCTCAGCTTCAAAGTATGGGCCAAATAGAGTGAATAGCCAGAATCACCCCCCCACCCCCTGCAATAAGTGGGCTCTAGAGCCAGAGGGTTAGGGGACTACCTGGGAGGGGGGGCCATGGGTGTAGTCCCTTGACCAGGCAGGCTGCACTTTCTGATCTGAATCCCAATTCCTCAGTGCTGACCAAGCTTCTGACACCCAGGATTATTAAGCACTAACTTGTTAGGAGTCCTTTTCTGCTGAGAGATGGCTTGAGCACATTCTCATTTTACTCTGTACACTTATGCTTTTGAGTTATTTTTTTAAACACTACTAACAAGATTTTACACGTTTCTATAGTTAAGAAGAAAAAGCAGCGCTCTTGTGGTGTAAGCCACAGTGCTCCAGAGGAATGGCTTGCACCTGCTCTGTCTGTGTGGCAGCCACTAGCCACGTGTAGCCGCTTGGGTTTAAATTAGTTGAAATGAAAGAAAATAAAAAAGTTCTTGAGTGGCACCTGCACATTTCACATGCTTATTGCCACCTGCAGCTGTGGTCATGTTTGGACAGTGCAGGCCAGGGAGGTGTCCTGGAGGAAGCGAGGCCTGGATGGGCAGGGGACTGACTTGGGGAGGCTGATGGGAAAACAAGGCACTCTGGGTGGAGCAAGAGCACAGGAGGCAGGAAGTCCAGATGGCAGCCTGGAAGGGAGTCCGCCCAAGTTCTGGGGTACCTTTCACTTCTTTCTGTACTCCTGTGTTTCTAGCATCCCACTTTCACCCCAGAACACAGGATTCCTTGAGACTGCAGCAGACCAGAGATCTAGATGACAGTCCCAACTCTATTCCTAAGCAGCCAAGTGATTTGGGGGAATTAATTCCCTGGACCTTCTCTTGGGCCCTACCTGCCCATCTCTGAAACGCGGGTGCCATACTAAACCAGAGCGTTTCCTCCCAATATAAGTTCTGTGATTCATCCTGCTGCTTCCCGGCTTCCCGGAAGAACGGTGGAGTATGCAGTGCTCTGTGCAAAGCTGTGCACGTTTGTTAATTGCTCTGATTCTTTGATTATGGAATTTAGGGAGTGTAGTTTCGCCCACCTAAGCTTCTGCCACTAGGGGGCAGGAATGAGGAAGGCAAACCAATTCCACGCCTCCCTGGGCTCTCCCTGCAGTTCTGGGCCCTGCCAGCAGGGGACCCGTCCCTCACCCCTACATTTCCTGTTACGTGAAGGAGCCTGGGGGATGCTCTTTCTGTCTTTCCTCTTTCAGGTGTCTCCCGGAGGACCCAGAAATTTGGGACATTCCCTGGAAATTATGTAGCCCCGGTGTGAGTGGTCTCCATGGCAACTTGGAGCCAGCCAGGATGGGGTGGGGAGCAGTAGCACTCACAGGAGGGAGTAGGGTCCCCACATCATCCTCCCCCAGACCTGCTCTCCCAGCATCTGCAGAGACCCCAGCAGCCTTCCCTTGGAGCCCCTTCAAAGCCCCATGGACTGATTCCCACCCACAACTCACAGGCATTCCTCTGAAAGCCCCTTCAACCCCACCCCCGCTCCCCAAATACAGAGGTCTGCTTTGAAGTGGAGACTGTTTCCAGGCCTTATTAAGACCAGACTCCTAGCCTCCCACCCCCACCCGCCATTGCCTTTCCTCTAACAGGGACCGGCTCCGGGCTTCACCCCCGTGGGGTTCCTCTAACAAGGACCAGCCTCCTAACCTGATGCAGACCAAAGGCCTCCAGCGCCTGCAGGACTTCCTCCCCTTTCTCACCAGCTAGCCTGCTGCCCCTTTGCATTCTGCCTCCAGCTGGGCCTGGGAGCGAGGTGGGGGACAGATGCAGCCCCTTCTTAGCCTTCAAGCACTAGCAAGAGGTCTCGCCTCAAGGCCTCTGCTTCCCAGAGGCTGTCAAGGTCTGGGCCTGGGTTCTGCACATCCTCCTGTGGCCACGGTGTCCAGCACCACTGGCCTCTCCCAGACAATCCACAGGGAGACTTTGCTGCGCTCTTGCCTCCCAGCTCTCCTCTATGTTAAAAGTCCCTCTGGAAGATGATGTAAAATAAATCTGGATACCAGGGCCCTTGTCTCTTGAGTCTTTTTCCTCTGGGATGGGAGAGGCCTCCTGCTTGGGATTGTGTGGATTCCTTCTGCAGTGGGCTGTGCAGGTAGGTGTGCGTGAGTTCTCAGCCCTCAGGGTGTGGGGGATGGGCAGCCCCCAGGACTGGGCAGCTGATTGACAAGAAGTGCTGAGAACCAACGTCACAGGGGCCAGGACAAGGTCTGTGGAAGACGCCAGAGCCGGGAACTGAATGTGGCCTTGTTTGTAGACTGTTTTGATTCTGGAATGGCCACTGTGGGGTTGCTGGACTAGATGACATTCTAACTGTTCTGCTAATGTTTTCCTTCTGTGCACTCCATTTCCACACTGATGCCCTTGTGTGTTTATTCTTTGGGCTCAAGTTTTTGAGCAATTGGTTTCAGGAAGCTGGGAGTGGTGGGGCACAGCCAGGCAAAGCAACTCTTTTTGTCCTCAGTTTTAGAGTCCTGAGGCTGGGTGGCTCCTGGGGACCATCAATGATGGCACAGCCCTGGTCTAATTGTTCCTCCAAGAAAGGAAAGCTCCATTCTTGGGCTGCTGCTGAGAGTGGATCAGGGAGTGCTGTAAGCATAATAGCTGGCAGGTCACGATTCCTTTTTTATAGATATTTTTTTAGTTGTCGGTGGAGCTTTTTTACTTTATTTTTATGTGGTGCTAAGGATGGAACCCAGTGCCTCACACACGCCAGGCAAGTGCTCTGCCACTGAGGCCCAGCCCCAGCCTTCATGCTTCCTTTTTACAGGAGAGACTGAGGCTCTGAGGTATTCAGGTGTCTGGGGCACATCAGTCTTAAATGCTGACACAATTGATGTAATGCCCAGGTAATGCTTTTCCAGAGGTTCTGAGGTGGGTCACACAGGAGTTCAGGGACTGCCTTGAGGTAGCCCAGGTTCAGGCTGCTTTTATGTTCTGGTCTGTCATTTAAGATGCCCCCACCCCAGGGTGGGGAAAGCTGGTGGCTGAAGTGAAGGGTGGAGATGCCTGGTTTTGTCAGGACAGAGGGGAGGGCCTGGGCCCACAGGGCAGTGGCCTGGCCCTGGCAGGTTGCTTAAGCCTGGGTGGGGCAGCTTGCTCTCCATCCATTTCCTCCACCCAGCACTTACCTCCACCTGGTTCCAAGTTGGCAGTTCCTGTCCTTGACTAGAAGTGACCACTCTTTAGGAACCTGCTGGTCTGTGTTGGACCCCCATCCTGGCTCTATTTACATTCCCTGAAGCCCTCATAAAACATCATAGGGTCAAGACTCCTTTTCTCTTAGGAGCCAAATCCATACCCTTGCTTTGATGGGACCCTGGAAACTTCCAGGCAGCAAAGGAACCCTCTACTCCCCTCCCTGCAGGCTGCCACCACCCTAGTCTGTAAGATAGTCACTTTTGTGGCTGGCATGAGGGCGTAGGTGAAGGGAGGGTCAGAGATTTCTGGCGATGGTTTACCCCATCAGGTGATGAGAGTGACTTGTACCCTGGGCAGAGGGTCACTTAGAGCAGGATAGGTCTCTTCTGTGTCACAGTCATGACCCAGGTCCTTGTGGTGGGTTTTGTGAATGCACAACTCATAGAGCAGAAAACGCTGCAGATGAACCTGTAGATGTTTATAGACTGTCCAAAGCGCGCTGGAGGATGAGCCCCTTGAGGACCACGTGACTCAGTGCCTGGCACAGTGGACACTCAAGAGATATTTGTTGAATGAATGTGTGTGTGTGTGTGTGTGTGTGTGTGTGTGTGTGTGTGTTACTGGGGATTGAACCCAGGGACACTCTACTACTGAGCTACAGCCTCAGCCTTTTTTTTTTTGACAGGGGCTCACTAAATTGATGAGAGTGACCTTGAATTTACTTGCCATCTTCCTCAGCCTAAAAAGCTGGGATTACAGGTGAAAACTACCACACCTGGCTTGAATCTTTGAATCATTGAGTTAAATAGATAAATTCTCCCTCCCCTCCACCTCCTGCACCCTCTCATTTGTGGCAAGCACTCTGTTTTTACACCTCTTTGTAATCCCTGGACTTTGCCTATGAAGAGCAATCTACACGATGGGAGGGTAAGCTAGGCCTTACTACGTGGGGAAACTGAGGCCTGGGAGAGCGGGGAACTGTGCCCACGGTCACACAGTAAGAGGTACATGAGGAATTTGAGGCTAGATTTGTGTGACCCCCAAGGCTGTGGTTGCCCTGCTTGGATTTCTGCCTCCCTCAAGGGGCTTTCAGGGGCTGGAGGTGTCCCTCAGTGGGAAAGCATGTGCTTAGCATCCAGGAGGCCCCGGCTTCCATGCCCAGGACACACACACAAAAAGGCAGTGGATGCTTCCAATCTAGTCGGGGAGGTAGAGCAGGTGCAGCAGGCAAAGTGCCCCACCAGGAGGCCCAGGATTACTCCACAGGAGAGTGGTTTACACACCCAGACAGTGGGAGGTGGGGCCAGGGAGGTGGCAGGGCAGAGGTGGCTGGACAGAGTACAGGAGGATGAGATGGGGACAGGGTAAGCAAGGAGGTGCTGAGGGCACTCCTCACGGTGGAACTCAGAGGAATGACTCACACCTGAGGCAGGCAGGTTACAGCTGTGCCCACAGGTGCGTTCCCCAGAGAGCCAAGTTGGGAGACCAGCCGGGGGTGCAGGAGGAGGCTCCCAGGGCCCAGAGTTCTCCAGGGTGAGGATTGCCAGGTATGACTCCGGGGAAACCATTGGCCAGATGGCTCCTCCTGCTTAAGCTGACACCTGAGGCTCCTTCTTGGCTGTCCTGATCCCTAGAGCTGGGATTGTAAATGGTTGGTAGAGGAGAAGGGGCAGGCAGAACCAGGGGTGGTTGTTCACAATGGTCCACCCCAGCCAGGTCAGCAGAAAAGGAGAGGCGCTGGTGACCCCCAGTCAGGAGTCTCACTTCATCTTCTCCAGGCCACCCTGCACAAAGCAGGCTTATGGGGTATCTCAAGCAGGGAAGCGCTGCAGAGAAGCAAGTCGGCTGGCTTGGCCGTCCAGGAAGGGAGGGCGGAAGGGTGGCCCTGGCTTGGGATTTGTGGGTGTCGAGACCGCATCTGCGCCAGCGTGGGAGCTGGGGTGGGCGGAGGAGCCTGGAAGACCGCAGCAGACCGGCCAGCCCTTTCCTGCTCCAGGCCCGGGCTGCGGGCTCGAGGGCCCTTTTTGTAGAAGGGGCACGCGACCTGCCCGGGGGAGCTGTCTGCGGACGGGGAGAGGGGTTGTCACTTGAACAGCACCGCTGCATTCAGGGGCGTTCGGGAGGATGCGGGCACCTCGGGAGGACGACGGCAGCCTTGAGGGGTCTCTGGGGAGAGTCTGCCTCCATCTCTCCAGCGGGGCGCGGGCCAGGTGGCAGCGCCTGGGCTCAGCGGCGCGGAGGAGGCGGCTTCCCGGGCCAGGGGCGGCGGCAGGGGCGGCCCCGGGATCACATGGGCGGAGGCAGGTCCCGGAGCCCCGGGCGGGCTCTCCCCAGAGTCGGGCGGACAGCGCGGCGGAGCGGCGGCGGGTCCTCGCCCTCCTTTCCTGCCTGCCTCCTTCCCTCCCCTCCCCGGCCTGGCTGCCCAGGCCGACAGGTGAGCGGCAGCCAGGTGAGCGCGCGCCCACCTGCGCACCCTCCGCGGCCAGCGCCGGCTCGCCCCGGCCCGGCCCGTCCTCGGCCCACAGCCCCTTTCCCTGCGGCCAGTCCTCGGCGTGCCCCCCACCCCGTGGCCTGTGCTCCACCTCCAGCCCCCTGCCCGCGGGGGTACTTTGGCCTTAGAGGGAAGAAAGCTCCAGAGCTGGGAGAGCCGGGCCGACAGGCTGGGCTCCTCCCTGCGGCACCAACAGCGCGGACAGCCGGAGTCCACTGGCCGGCGCAAAGGTCTGGGAATCTCAGGGCATTTACGAGCCACCAGCACCAGGCCTTGGGGACTGAGGGCCTGGGAACCTGGGGACTTGGGGAGGGATAGAGCCCACGCTTGGGCAAAAGGGAAGCCAACTGATAGGGGAGGGGCAGACAGACTCGCCAGCCAGAGTATCCCCCTCCCCAGGGGCCCGGTGTTCATGAGAGATCAGGCAGCCCTTGCAGGCTCTGGACCTCCCCAGGGGCAGCCTCAGGATGGGTGCTGGGCTGGGTGGTGCTCAGCCTGGCATTGCAGCTTCCTGCCAGGATTGGCTCCTGGCTCCAGACCTAGAGGCTCAGGAAATCCCACAAGGGCCTGGTCTGCAAGGACACTCCCTTGCCCAGCAGAGGGGGCAGTGGATGGGAGGCCTGTGGCCCCAGCTGGCAGGCAGCATCAGCCCTCTCTCCCTGCTGGCCAGTAGCAGGGGGTGGGTGTGCCCCTCTCTGCAGATGAGCCTTGGCCTCCTTGCTGGGGCTGTTCAGAGGGCAGCAGGCCCCTGGGGGCGGTGGGAAGTGGATCTTGTCCATCTGATCACATTGTCAGGGCCTGGGCAGGCAGCCAGGAGGCCCTTGTGAAGACCTGACCTGACCCAAGCCAGCCCCAACCTGGGCAGATTTTTACATAGTCTGGTGGGGCCACCCCATTCTTTGCTGTCCCTCCTGTGCCAGAGCCTGGCTCTACCCAGGCAACCCTCCTGCCCTCCCCCAGAGTGGGGAGGAAGTACCTTGTGCTGTCGGTTTTGGGGACAGGAAGCAAGCACTTGAGGGACTAAGTTCTGATGGTGGAGGAGGGGACAGGGAGGAAATGCAGACATCTTCTACCACTTGCCAGTCACTGCCCACCCATTTTCCAGCAAGGCCCTGTGTGGTATGGGGACAGCAGCCTCTTGGGAGCTGCTGGGCTAAAGACCTCGGAAGGGGGAACTCGGAGTCACAGTTTCCCAGGGTGGGGGGAAGTGAAACTTTGGGGTGAGGGAGGGACTTAGTCATTTCCTCTACCCACCCTACCCACCCCTAGCCCCTGACGTTCTGCTGGGGGACCTGTCCCCCTCTTCTCCCTTTTGCTTCCAGTAGGTTGCGGGGAGTGAAACCCACCTTCCAGTCCTCTCTTCCTCAAGCATGGC